GCGTTCCCAAATCTCTAGTTTCAGTAAAATCATAACCTATAAAATTCATACGTGTTTCAGAGAGAACCATTTTCTCGGGCGGTTCGCGAATTTTGCGCATATAAGCAGGTATATTGTTTTTATATTTGCTTCAGTTTTGTTATATTGTTTAATTAGTTGATGTTGTTATTAATCGTTTTCATTGTTAGTGGTTGATTTCCTGTAAATTGTATAAGTTCCATATTTAATCATTTTTTTAATTTTCCCAAAACTTATACATGTGGATAATATCTATTATTTGGTGCAAAAAAATTTGTTATAATACATTTATAATATTATTATTATTAAACAACAAAGTGTGTGTCTATAATATGATATTCTTTCATTTATATATATAAAGCTTATTATTAATTTCTAGAGGAGAAGTACACAAAGCAGGATGAACAATGACGCTTTGATTACAATTGTCAACGATTTCCTAAATTCGTCTGATGATAGTGATTCTGAGAGCGATGCAGATATAGATGAATTATTATTATTAAATATGAATAGAATAATTCGTGGCAAAAGGCCAAGATTGCAACATTACATTGATGTTATTGCTTCGTACGACGATCAGGAATTTAAATCTAATTTTCGGTAAGTTATTAATTATTCTCAAAAATGTGTGTCTTTTCATCTGTTACAATAAAATAATTGTTATCACTGACAATAACGCTTCATATGCTATGTGTGTGAAAGACATTATTTTTAACTCATTTAAACTATTAATAAATTTAATGTTATATGTTGTACACATATTAAAAATTCCATGACAATTAAACATAATTATAACATTTTTGCAGTCTACATAGAGATACCTGCGATTACATTTTGGACCTCATTCGAGCAGATTTGGAGAAGTGGCCACAATATTTTGGGAAATACCCTATATCAGCCAATAGACAATTGTACATCGCATTATGGATGCTGGCAAATCCAGACTCGTATAGGTAAAAAGATTAAAATTAGTCCTATTTACGGACATTACTTTGTAACCCTTCATAAACCCTTTGATAAAGCCTTCCACTTAATATGATTGTAATTACAGATCAGTGTACACAAAGTTTGATATCGGAAAAGCTACTGCTTGGCGATGTGTACTGAAAGTCGTGAAGGCTTTGTACAAATTGCGAAACGTTTTTATATCTTGGCCAACAAGGGAACAAGCCGAAGCGACATGGACAAAAATCGAATTACAACACCAATTTCCAGGAGTAATAGGTATAGTAGATGGCACACTCGTGAAAATACCTAAGTCCAAAATTCATCCTGAAGCATATATATGCAGGAAAAATTATCATGCAATCCAATTACAGGTAAATATATACATACATTTATACACTGCTTGTCAAAAGTTGCGAAACATATAATCTTTTAGAAAATATGGAAGGTCAAAAAATGTTTCAGATAAAAGTTGTACTGCCTGAAGGGGGATAAATAATGGTAAACTTTTAAAAAATCAATTTTTTAAATTTATTTGAAGAATTTTTATTTATATTTTATTTGAAAAAAATGTATTTATATGAAGAGGTTGTCGTCATTTTTAAAAATAACAAGCATTTTATGATACCTAATAGTAATAATACAATTATATAGATACCAGATGATTTGTAATATGTATATTATGTTGTGTATGTGTACAGATTGTATGCAATACAGATATGCGCTTCATTCACTGTTACACGGGGCAACCAGGATCAGTTCATGATATGCAAACCTTTATGTACTCTGGACTTCAGCAAAAATCCAATGAATATTCCTTTCCGGAAGACAGCCATTTACTCTAGTCCAGTAAATGAACGTAAAATATTGAAAAACCTCAAAATTCTTTCAATAGTCATCGATTGCCTTGAAATTTTTACAGGTGTTAGAGAATAGCACAAGGAACAAAAGTGACCCAGTGCCGACGTCCGCTTTTTCTTTAGGGGTGGTTCCCCCCCCTTTTTGGGGGTTGAATTTTTTTGGCCAAAATAACCCCGGGAATCGATAAAGGGATTAATTTTAAGTAAAAAATGTAGTATGAACTTTTCTTTGTAAACCAATACTTTTCGAGTTAATAGCGATTGAAGGTTAAGAATTTTCATTGAAAAAAAGCACTTTTTGAAACGGGTTTTGCGAAATAACTCAAAAAGTAAGTGTTTAATCGGAAAAACCATGAGAATGGAAATTGTAGCTTATTAAAAAACGAACAAAACCCTGTTTTTATAAGCACTGTATGTGAAATACAGACCTACGTATGAATAATTTACGTTCAGTATAA